AAAAAAAAACTCTCACATTGCCTTACCTTGGAACTCACCTTCGTTTAAGTTCTCAAATTTGGAAAACGATTTCAAAAGTTTATCGGTCAGTGAGAGTTTACAAAGAGTACTTAGTTACCTTGGAAGTATGAATTGGTAAGATTATGTTGTGCCCAAGTGGACCCACATATTCTGTCGCTGCTATTTTGAGCTCCCCTAACTTTTCCAGACAAAAAAAAAAATATTGGGTAAAAATAACGGTGACGGGTCAAAGAAAAGTATGATATTGGGTAAAATGTCGCAATCTTGTTGGCCTACTTCCTTCCTGATTAATGTACATGCTTACAACACCAAGTCGGCTGTATGGTTTCCACCTTATGGACAAAATGTCAATTCATGATGATCTGGTTGAAATTATCTGATTTTTAGTCGTTTTTTTTCACCAATATGAACGTTGGACTCGATCACTTGCCAGCTGTGATTGGCGCTTCGCAAGAGACTTCAGTTGATGCTGGCCCAGGTCAGGTCATGTCATGTCACTGTACGGATGGAGACGCTACCCCATTTTTCTAATCGTGTAACGGCCCAAAATCTGCCGCACGGGAAATTTAAGTCAGAGTCTGCAGCCTCGGAGATTTAGCATGTTAAGTTATCGAACTCTTGACTGCTATTAGTGACATTCAAGACGAATTATAAGCTGCAATACAGAGTGAGAAAAGTGGCAAAATAAGGAGGGGGAATATTAATATTAATATTACTGTCATGTTTTTTGTAATGCTATAGGTGTGAAATAAAAAAGTAATTAAATTTATAAATTAAATTTATAAAAAGTACGTTTGTTTGTGATATAATCAAATAATTTCCTTCAAATAAGAAACTATCTGAACGCATTTAAATGAATAAAATACTCTATGCCTGTGGTGGCCCGAAATCATAATCCTACTGCTATTGCTCCATTTTTTCCTTGCTTTCATATTTCAAGTTGTGCATATGTGCATATTTCAAGCAGGGCATCCTGTGGGAGGTTTTCTATCCCACGTCGGTATTGGGGGAGAAAGGGTTTGGGTAGATAAATTCCTCACAGGACTTCAAAAGTTGCCGGCTTTTGAAGTTACTGTGGGGATTAGATTTATTTACTTAAATTCTTAATTCTGTAAGAAAATGTCAGAAAAAAAAAGTTGTGCATATGTCTCCATCAATTCATTGCTTCGAGGGAATAACAAATCTTTACTAAGGATGTTATCGAGTCGAGTTCGAGTAGTACAGTATTCGAGCTCGACCTTGAACTCGAACGAGTAAATAAATTTGGACTCGAGTTCGACTCGATAAAATAAAATTAAACTCGAACTCGACTCGTTTGAGTTCGAGTAAATATCAAGTCCGATTTACTTGAACTCGAGTTTTAAATGAAACCTATAAAATTTTTCTCAAAATATATAATATAAATATAATATGAAAACTTGATTAAACTCGTCGAGCACTCGAGTATTTATTTTTAGAGTTCGAACTCGACTCGTTGAATGTAACGAGTGGATCGAGCTCGAACTTGAGCTCGGTCAAAGCTTTTAACCAAGTCGCTCGCAAGCTTTGACTTGATTGCACCTCAAATCTCTATCCTTGGAAAGGAATTTATCATGAAAAAAATTTTCACGCTTTTCGTAAACATATTTTTCAATCATTTTTTTACCTCACATATATCAAATCGCTACAATACACTTTTTATTACAGAAACTCTAAAAAATACAATCTAAACACGATAGCAAGAAGAACACGAGCCAGATAGAGGGAAACATGTAGACCTGTTGGATCAATTCCAGAAAATAAGCCACTCGGTTGGTACTATACGAGGAGGATTGAGGTCGTTTGGTTGAGAATGTAGTAATACGTAATGGACCCTTTATATCAGCAGAAAACACGATGCTAACGTGGGAGGACCTCCAGGCCTCCACCCAAAAGAATAAAAAACCGTAGGAGGACCATTGTTTTGTTTAAGGCGCGTCTGTATCCACCAAAATGCTTAATTTCAAGGTTTTCGTCAACCACTAAAACCTACGTGGACTTTATCAAACAAAAGCCTGAAGATCATACGTGGTAATTGGCAAACTAATCACTACTAACCATTCCGACAATCAGACGTAACTCATCACATACAAAAACATATTCCGAGAAGAAGGATGAGAACAGGCCAAATCTCGACAAAGCCAAATCTTGTGTCTCCAGTTTTAGCCGTTGCTTTCGTCCTTCATGTGCAACGGGATGCAACCAAGACTGATAATTATTGGAAATGGGAATGCGTCAGGGCTCCGGCAGCCAATCAGGCAATTACGGTTTAGTCTGTATTGTGCATTATACTAATTGAGTTTTTCTTGGAAAACATAATTTATTGTGTATTACTGTCTCAGGCAGGAGAAACATGATTAGATTATGCTTGTTCTTTATTGTACCTCAAAATCCGGATGAGATGGATAATTTACAAGTTTAACACTTTTCGACTTGAAATAAAGATATCCCGTCAGCACGGCTCTCCAAAACCGTAGAAATTTTCACGAAAAAGGGAACTCATTTCCTATCTTTTAAGCTTAGAAGTCATCTCCTAAATGAATCAAGTGATTGATTATAGAAAATCTCCTGCCTTTCTTCCTTTGGCGTTGTCTGACCACACTTTATCCCAAAGTCGGTAGAGGCAGTTGAGAAAATGTGATTTCAGTTTAATGCTTTCGCCAGAAGTGGTGTGGTGAATTACTCCACGACTTGCCATTCCTGTAGCCCTGTGATGATCCTATTAAGCCTAAATAAACTCTCCATCAGTTGGTGGGCTTTCCCCTGGCCGGTATTTCTTTCTACGCAAATTCGTATTTCTTTTTGTCACCTTCGAATGCTTTCCGAATAGTAGGTGCAACTTATATCCTAGAGAAGTTGGACAACACTCCCTTTGGAACAAACTGTTTTTTGGGAATATTTTTAAAAAATTTCACTGTAACAGTGTATATGAAAAGTTTTTACTATAAATATTTAATATATTATATGAATGATATATTTTTTTGATTTATTTTTATTTGTACATTACTGTAGTATTGTATTTAAAAATTTTATTTTTGAAAAAAAAAGCCAATCAGATTTTTAGATTGTGACTTGTGAGTGCATGGTAAAGTGAAAATCAATATATAAGGATGTAGATGTATGTTTTGATATTTATGCGTTTTCTTGCGTAAGCCTTTTTGAGTATTGAATGACAAATAGCTACGCTTGTGCAAATACATAGGTGATAGGTCGGCCGAGATTGTGACCTCTGCTCCTTCATTCATCATTTGATCAACTACCAAAACAAGACAGTGGCTAGTCTGTTTGGGGGGGGGGGGGGATTCATTAAAATTCCGGCATGTCGGCCTACTTAGTGCCTAAGCTAACAACCCAACGCGGGGACGATGAAACCACTGGCCAATGGCTCAGTGGTCACTGGGGAGGGATTTAATTTCCTCCTTAGGCTGTGTTGATAAGGGTTCAAATCTCATCAGCAGTAAAAAAAATTTAAGAATTGTGCCATAGCATTTTTTTAATTTAGTTGAATCTGTATACCCACTAACCCCTATAACAGTCTCCTTAGCCTCCCCTTCCTTCTAGATTAGGATAAAGTAGGTTATAACTCAAAAAAAAAAAAAAAACAACACGGGGACGATGGAATGGGGCGGCATTGCTCTTGGATCTCCATAAGCGGTTGCACTTAATGCTGCCAGGTTATGCTACTACTAGTTTTCTATCTTTTGCCAGTTTGGCAAACAAGTTTTTAATTAAATTTGTCAGTAACAACTTTAAATACAGTTATTGTTAAAAAAATTTCAAAAAATTTAAATTATGTATATTTTAAAATATTTAAAAATTTACGCACTTCAAAATTTTTTCTTATAATTTATATAATAAATTATAGTAAAATTTTAGACAAACATCCAAAAAAAACTCATTTGTCAAATGGGACCCAAGATTTGATGAAAAAAAATTTCCTTTTTGGTGAAATCTGGCATGTTATAGTTGGTAAGCATAGGCAGGTAAAAAGGAACGGTTGGTTTTCAACTATTGCTAACTACTAAAGCGTGCGTGACTTTGATTGAGCGGATGATCACCAATGCCCTTGGTGTTTGTGGCAAGGTCAATCGAAGTTCCGCGCTTTTGGGGTCGGGAAGGAGGAGTAGGTAACGGGCCTTCTCGCAAGTACGCGTACTCTTTTGTGGTGAGAATTTAATCCATACTTGCGGATAACTCCCATGGGCGGACAACAATTGGTCCATCAAGTAAAGCCTTGTTCAGCTTTGGATTAGTTATAGCAAAAATTAATTAGTAAAATTGACACTAGAGAGCAATTAGAATTAGTAAAAGCTAATCTTTTATTGATTCTAGATTTTAGCCTTTTTTGGTTCGTAAAAGAAATTTATATTTTAATACAAACGCAAGCAAGAACATTTTTAAAAACTGCAGAATCTATAATCAACTACAATAATCCATCATGAACAAGAGCAGGAGTTTTTTTTTTTTAACGAGCAAACTTCAAGCATTATATAAAGAAAAATGGGGAATCGATAGGATTTGAGAGTCGAACCAGGAAACTGCGGAATTGAAAGAGCCCTTCGGCTAATGTCCTGGCTACCTCAACCGGTATTTACATTAGTAAACCATGGGATTTCAACAAAAAATTGTTACTTGAGTCAACATGTTTCAAAGAACGTTAGAGCTCATTGGGGAAGTTGAAAAGAATTCGTGCGGAGATTCCAAGAAATTGGGCTTTTCGTGGAGCACCGACACTACCTAATTGGGCCAGTTGATATGATGATTGCTTTTCTTGGAGCAACGAGATTTCCTACTTGGGCCAGCTTATATGACGATTTAGTCCAAACAGCATCTTTCACGGGCCAGGGCCATACGCACATTTTGCATGCGACAGTACAAACCTTTTTAGATAACCAATCTCGCCCATTGATCATGTTCTGCCCCACTACATCTTAGCCGTCCACTTCCCCAATTAACCCAATTTCACCCAAAATTCACATCAACATTTGGCAGTGCCCCGCTTTTCCCCGAAGTTTCTACATCAGCGGCGGCGAACTCAGCGGCGTCAACAGCGGCGTCAACAGCGGCTGTAATTGGAGGAGGAGCTGGAAAATGTCAGGCGTCACTACTCAAGAGGAAGATAAGAAGCCCTCTGAGCAACACATTAACCTCAAAGTCAAGGGACAGGTCTCCTATTATTTTGGCTTTTGTATTTTTCTGTATGTTTTATGTTTCATAATCTTTGTCTTCTAGCACGGTATAACTCCGTTAAAAGGGGTTTCTTTGTTTTCCATTTTCTTTCTTAAACAGTTAACGCGTGTAGAATGTCTGTCAGGGTTTCGTTTTTGTTTTGTAGTACTATGTTTCTAAAATTAAGTTATTTTTAGGAATTTGATTTTTCTTGTGTTATTCTCCGAATGTTTGTGGACTATATTATACATGGATCTGTGCCATGTTCGAGTTAAGGTTCCTAAGCTAAATTTCGCTTTACTACTTGGTGTTTTGGTGCTTCAATTTCCTGCTGGCATTTAAGCTCTTGGCTAACATGATCAAAATATTTGCATTAATTTTTTTTGGCCGTTGAGCAAGTAGTCGATGACGGTGGTTTGTGTAGGATGGGAGCGAGGTGTTCTTCAGGATAAAGAGGAGCACACAGCTGAAGAAGCTCATTAATGCTTACTGCGAGAGACAATCTGTGGAACTGGGCTCCATGGTATTCTTGTTTGATGGCCAACGCCTCCAAGGGGAGCAGACTCCTGAACAGGTTACTTTCCTTCTTTCCTTTTAAGATGTCTTTCCAAGACACTACTGTTATGTAATTTGCAATCAATCCATTTAGTTTTGTTTACATTTTATTTTGTACACAGGTGAGTATGGAAGATGGTGATGAGATTGATGCTATGCTGCACCAGACTGGAGGTGCCTTTGCCTAGGCATTGATATGATGGGGAATCTGGAAGGCTTGATGATATTGTAAATTTGTAATATTAAAAATTGAGATGGTACTTTTAACCTTGAGGGCTTTTATATGTATCTATATTAGTAGTTGATGATGGATGCTAGAGGTGCTGTTCTGGATGTTTCACGTTATGACATATAGTTACCACGTTTGGTAATTATCTTTTAGATTCGATGCTTTTTCATCAGTGTTTCAGATTTTTCTTCATTTTTTGTTGTTGTTGTTGTTTTTCCTTGGCATGGTGCAGTTTTTAACTTGTGATTATGTTCTTCTCGTTTGTTCGCCTGTTCTGGGGATGAGGGCAGATGAATATTTCCGTCAGCAAGCTTCTCCGGAAGCTAGCTGGCTAGCCATTAGATCAAAAGGTGTTGTTGGTACAATTTCATGGTTACCGGATTCTGGGAGACTGAGCGACCTAGACTAACTGCTTGCTGTCCAGGGAAGGAGATGTAAATTGAGCGTCCTAATGTCCTATTGCAAGATGTAAATTGAGCATCATATCATAGGTTGTCATCATAGATTTGTTGGTGGTCAAAGCCTGGGAAGTTCTGACCACATTAGTCATGGTATTTGGAATGAAGCCCTGTTCTGTTCTGTTCTGTAAAGTACAGAACGAGGAGAAGGGTTTCTAGGTGGACGCGGGGCTGGAGCGGTTGTTCTGACAACCGTTCCGGAAGGCGTAACACCATTTGTACATGGTGTAACATCATCTGTACAAGTATAACAATTGAATAACAGTGAGTAAAATAAAACAACATTTTTGTGGGTTTCGCACGGCATGAAAATCGAGTTACAAGACGTGATCTAAGCCGCACAAATTTTTGAGATTTCATCCAGACCGTGAACTGCCTGGGACGGTTGTCTCTGACAATCGTCCAGGCCCCTCGTCCTTTCTAAGTCAATAATTCTGAAGACTCGAAAAAGTCCTTTGCAGGTATTGTGATTCGGGTCCTTTCTAGGTCAATAATTCTGAAGACTCGAAAAAGTCCTTTGCAGGTATTGTGATTCGGGTGGGGGTTACATTTCAGACTTCAAGGATAAGCATTTTCTTGAGCAGTAACGACTCCTCTGCTTCATTGTATCAATGGAATGTAGTTGCTGGGAACACCATTTGCATATTTGTTTTAGTACCAAACTTGACTGCGTCGTAACCTTGGAACACCATCTACATCTTCCATTTGGATTGGAAGTTGTTATAAAAAAAATTATACTATAGTGATGTGATGTGACATATGTAAGATAGAAATCTGATTGGCAAATGTGTCAAAGAGATTATTTCAAGAAAAAAAAATCCATGATAATTTACAATCCAAACGTGCTTAGTTTGGGAGTTGGATTTTGGAGAGGAGAAAAGATAAGTTTTTCCGTTGTTCGGAAGTTTCAAATGAGAAGAGAAGTGGATACAAATGGTGGAATTTTTTTTTTGGTATTTTGGTTAAAAAGCTCTCCAAAAGTGGAGATGAATTGAGAGATAACCAATTAAAAAGCTTGATAATTTTTCAAAAAAGAATTTTAAACAACAAAATGGTAACGCCTGAGTAATCCAAATCATTCAATCTTTCATTCATAAAGTCCCATAAAACATAGAAACATATCTACGTCACTTCTCTTCTTTTCTTCTCTCTTGTAAGTTGTCATCTTGCCTCTTTTCTTCTGCTTTTTTTTTTTTTTTTCAAGTCTAAACTCTCAAACAAGCGCAAGAGTCGTTCTCATTGACGAGAAAGGACCTTCTGCAGAGTGCCACGTCAAGGCCAGGAGAAGAACAATCCTTTTTGAACGGACAAGAAAAAAAAAAAAAAAAAAAAGAAGAAGAAAAAAATAGAAGGTGGACAGGAAATAGGAATGGAAGAAAGATGAGGACCAAGGATTACATCTGATTAAAAAAGAAAAAAAAAATGCTACATCCCTATGATTGGGAAAAGAAAACTGCTTAATAATATATTATAGAGTATTTGTGTAAAATAAATGTATCGAAATAATAGTCCAGTGGAGCTGGCTAGGGAATTATAGGTATACTTACTCGCGCATGGTAGTAGATTCACAGTTACGAGTTGGTGGAACAAGCGCAATGCTATATACATACGACCGTTGACCGCGGGCATAATGATCTTGTTCAGTAGTTCACAGTGGAATAATTTCTTTGACGGAACCAGCACGTCCTAGTCATATTGATCCTCCTGTAAGAATTCCTTTGTTTGGATTCCATTTCTCTTCAAAATAAAATTTTTTTTTTATGTTTTTCCTAAATATATTTTTTAATCATTTTTTTTATCTCACATACATTAAATTATTATAATATTTTTTTTTCTACAAAAACTTCAATAAATAATAATTCAAACGAATTACGAAAAACAACCAACAAAAGGCTATGACCTCGCTACCCTCCTGAAGTGTTCTGTTTAGATTGATCATTTTTTTAAAAATAAGTTTTTCAAATATAATATTACAGTAATACATAATAATTTAAAAAACATCTCATCCATATAATATATCAAATATTTCAAAAATTTTTTATAGTAAAATTTTTTCATATACAATACTACAGTTAAATTTTCGAAAACACCCCAAAAAACAGCTAATCCAAATGGAGTAAAAAAGGGGAGGAAAAAGAAATGGAGAAAATTTAAAATTCGAAAATCTAAAAAAAAATAAAATAAAATTAGAGACATAAGCCACGTAATGGCACAAGCGAACTTTTAAAGAAGTCACATGCCTCAGATGTACATACGAAGGCGAAGAAGAAGAGGGAAAGGTGGAAGTGACTCAAAAGCTGAGAGAGAGTAATGGAGGAAGACAGGAAATGCAAAGCTCCCAGGCGATGGGCTGCCGCTCTAGTCTCCATCTTTGCCTTCTTCCACCTCCTCCCTTTCTCTGAATCTTCAAACCTTTCCCGTTACAGAGAAGCTCTTTCAAAAAGCCTCCTTTATTTCGAAGCGCAACGCTCCGGTCACTTGCCTTACAATCAGAGAGTCCCTTGGCGACACCATTCTGGCCTCACCGACGGTTTGGAACAAGGGGTTCGTACGACCACAATCTCACCTTCTTCTTCTTCTTTTTTCTTCCGTCACATTCTACTTATTATTATGATCATATACGGTACAGCATGTAATTGGAACATTACTTAAGATTTTCTTGTACACTTTTTTCATGTATTAAAAAAAAAAATATATATATAGGTGGACTTGGTAGGAGGTTACTATGATGCAGGGGACAACGTTAAGTTTGGTTTGCCAATGGCCTTTACCATTACGATGCTTTCCTGGAGCGTCATACAATACGGGGAAGAGATTGCGGCCGCGGGCGAGTATCGCCACGCGCTCGAAGCAATCAAATGGGGGACTGACTACTTCATCAAAGCACATTCTCAGCCTCATGTCTTGTGGGTTCAGGTAATTTATACCCATTTTTACTGCACCCAATTATTAAAAAATAAGTGACGACGAGGCAAGCGATTCAAATTTCAAACTGTTTTTTCTTTTTAAGCAAAGAAATTATGCCCATGTTGAAAAAATTATGGACTTGTCTAAAGTCTCTGTATGTAGCAAGACATGCTAAGCCGTATCAAATGTTCCCTCACGCGCAGCATTCTGCCCCGAAGAAATTGCTCCAATCACGCCGGAGACGTGATTTTATTCATTCACACCATAGATTTTTTGCGTGGGTCCAAATCTTTTCTGGTCAAATATTTGTACAAACAAACTACTGTTTTTGTCCTAAGCATGTCAAGTTAACGTTGATCCTTCAGGTGGGTGACGGGGACACGGATCACTACTGTTGGCAAAGACCGGAGGACATGACGACGTCCCGAAGAGCTTACAAGATTGACGAGGATCATCCGGGTTCGGACGTCGCCGGAGAAACGGCGGCTGCAATGGCGGCAGCATCCATTGTGTTTAGGAGAACCAATCCTCATTACTCCCAACTTCTGTTGGATCATGCGCAACAAGTAAGTTGAGTTCAGTTAGTTAATTAATGAGGTTGTTATGACTTGTTAGTTAGAGGGATAGGTACGTTGGGTTTGATTGATCTTCAGTAGATTAGATTCAACTAATTACGTACACAATTCAGACTACAATCTATGCCCGCACGCAAATGCAATTCAATTCAATTCAATTCAGACTGCTCGAATAGAATATCTTTGTGCTATGCCATCAGATGATAGCGACCAACCAAACTGAACTAAAGCAGAATGTCTGATTAATATATACAAGTAATGGTATAAGTATTTCTTTTGGAGGTACCGTTCAGCTAATCAAAGACTATATGATAGCAAGGCAACTAATAAATTTCTGTCTCCTTTAATTTTAAAAGTGGATTAGTAATTAACTTACTGTATCAATGGTCACAGAAAAAAAACTGTGATTTGAGAGTTTTGCAACTACACTGCACAACACACATGCACATGCATATGCACAGATGTGGGGTTTGATTAAATTCGTTGCGCAGTTGTTTGAGTTTGGTGACAAGTATAGAGGGAAATACGATAGCAGCATAGGGGCGGCGAAGGGGTACTATCCGTCGGTGAGTGGTTACATGGATGAGTTGTTGTGGGGAGCATTGTGGCTGTATAAGGCCACCGACAGGGCAGATTATTTGAATTATGCAATTGGAAAGGCTCAATTTTTTGGTGGGATCACTTGGGCCATGCAAGAATTCAGCTGGGATGTCAAGTATGCTGGTGTCCAGGTTATTGCTGCCATGGTAAACTTGCTTTTTCCCTCTTCCCATGTTTTCCACTGCCTCATCCAAGACCAACACACTTTAGTTATGGCTCTTTTTAGTCTTCATAGTTGGCTTTTTCCCATTACGTGTTTCACTGCATCGTTTCTTTTGCTTTCAGTTCAGAAATCAACCAACACACTTTAGTTTAAGGTTTAAGGTTTTACGTACAGAGCCCATGTGAATTTCATTTCATATCGGAAATACTACCACCACTGTGGTTAAATCATCATTTGATTAAAATGATGATATGGTGTGGGAAGGACCTGCCCATCCGCCGCCATTAATTTTACTGTTAGGTGTGGGAAGGACAAAAGGATGACCCCTCCGACCTCCAGAATCCAATAATCCAAAAGATTTTATGTCTTTCTCTGCCATCCACATTATTTGAGCGGCAAATAGTAGTAGATTGGGGTAATGAGCGCAAGACAGAATTAGGAAAGAAAGCAATTAAAACGTCACATTATG